AATCCTGATGCAGTCCTACCAAAGCCTTCTTTTACACTCTGGTATTCATTCCAGAGATGAAGTTCAAATATGTATGTTGAGTGAGTAATACATGCAGCCAGCTCTGTTTGGAGGAGAAGTAAATCATCTGCGGCACATCTGTTGATTAGTGAATGTTAAGAACTTGCACATAAATTAGTAAATTAGAAGATTAAGCCTCCTTTCCTGCTAACAGGTAACTGAAGGCATTTTCACTGAACCACACGTAACTGACAAGGTTTGGCAGATGATGAATGATTTTGCTCTTCATGAATGCTGATTGACAACTGACTGGCATTTTTTCCTTAGACGACAATAAGTCAATTTCCCCCATCATTCTATTTAAGGAGGCACTGCCCACTTTGTTTCCAAATGTGACATGGGCTTATATGGTCTGGACCCGCTCCAAAAGCCCAGTACAGGAGGCTCACACTCACACAATTACAGGTGTGGCTTTGCAGGGCTGGGGGTGCACAGGGTCCTGGGCTTGTGGCTACCAGGATTACCACAACACAAATGAAAGCCAGGCACGAAAATGCAGGTTCCTGTCGGCGTTTTAATATTTACACAGGCCAAAACCGATGCTATTGGGCTCTGCACCAGGAGATGGCAGGGTCGCGCTGTTCACGCAGCCTTTACCGGCATTATATACCGATACCGCGCCTTTCTAGGGAGGGATTTTAAAGCTCGCCCAGGAGCTGCTATATCTTGTTTAAAAGATACCAAACCTGTGCCTCGCATTCACGGAAAATATACTGAGCTCAGCAGTTTATTTAAAGAGCTATCACTCCTGACTTGAGACTGACCTGAGTTAAACTCCCCAAACAGCCGCAGTCTTTATGAAAGTGCAGAGGAAGGACAGAAATTTCAATCGAATCTGTCTTTTCTCCAGATGCTTCTGTTTCACTGGTGGTTCCTCAGGCACCTAGAAAATGATGCAATAGGTGATGCCAACCCGAGTCTTCCAGATTACCTTTTCTCTCTCCCTATGGGTTTTCTTTTATTAAGTGTATGCTGAAAGTGAGTTTGTTTGTTTTTTTTGCAGTTATGCTTCTCTTCAGCACATTTCAATCTCTAAAAGACAAGAGGGATGATGGTTTCATGCACCACACAGAGAGGGAATCCTTAACTTATTCTACCTATTAAACCCACCATCTGTTTCAGCAAGTCACAAAATCATACAGAGAGAGAAAATGTCACTGACTGTTACCATTAAGGGAAAAGCCTACTTTGTCTGGATCAAGTTAAAAAACCCAGGTAATTTGTGCTGACCTCTTGGTAAATATAATAGCTTTCCCCTGCTCAATTTATAGCCCTACCTAAAAAAATAACTTATGTACTGCAGTGACTTTCCAACCACAGACTAAGTGTGAGGTTTGTGGTAGGGGATATTTGGACTTGTTTTGGTTGAGGCCATGCAAGCTACCTGGAAAGCTGTATTTTTTGCTATTCTATTATGTATGCATAAGTGGAATTGCCATAAAAATGGAATTGTATTTTGCAGTAAATTGTTAATCACAGTAATAGCAGTGGTGGTGATTAGCTGATCAGACAGGACACATGGCAGTCCATGGCAGTCACTGAAAAGGGGGTGCTTTTTAGTCAGTGGCAACTTGTTACTTTAAGTCTGGGAGATCACAGTCCCTACCACCTCTGTGGACAGTGCCCAGGTTAACACACAGTGCTGACTTTCCTGCCTGCCTCCCGTGTGTCTGTGTGGTGTTTCAGCATGAGACAACTCAGGTTCACCAGTATATCCCACTGCCAGACCAGATCCTGCTGCCATTTGTGCTCCCACTGGCTGCCTGTATTGTGTCGGAGAGACCATGGGGAAAGACCAGCAGCCCCAAATGTGCCTGGACATTGTTTGGAGAGAGAAAAAAGCATGCCAGAAACTAGGCTTACTCTTTCATGTTACAGAGGGCCAGGGCCAGTGCATGGACCTCTGCCAGGGGAGTGCCATTGCAGAGTGAGGTGGGAAAGTATGGTGTGCCTGGGGCTCATGTCCTGGAAGAACACTGTGTGTCTCCAAGATCTGCTGGGTGGTGTGTTGAGGACCGGGGGAGTTTTAGCTAGAGGCTGCTGTGCCCCCATTGTACCCATCCTGCTTGGAAGGGCTCAGTGTCAAACCAAGCCAGTAACTGATGCACGCAGGAGGCCCAGCCTGGCTTGTGCCAGCCATGTCCCCTTACCAAACCCACCGTGTAAGCAGCGCAGCTGGCCACAGGGTGCAAAGCAGGTGATGAGCTCAGGCACATGCAGCCTTTGGGGCCTTTGGTTCTTCTTGGGCTCATGTCCTCAGGTAACAAATGTGCCTTTCAGGGAATTAGTGGAACATCATCATATTTTTCTGCAGTTCAGTCACTTTGTGGCTGGGGCAGGCTTCCTGCCCGTTCCCTCCCATTTGGTGCCGGAGGGCTTTAATGGTCTCATAGTTGGGCTGTACAGCAGTTGTGTGGAAAACATAACACTGTCAGGAGAGGAACAGCGAGTAGGCAGCATTAAATCTCTCTTTGTCAAGAGCGCTGGGTTGTTATTACAGTACACGCTCTGATTCTGGCATGGTTCACTGGGCACAAGCAGGACTTTGGTCCTGAGCAGTATGCATGATTTACGGCTGTCACCTTTATATTATCCTCCTGCCAGAGCAGTACCCAGAGGTGCTTCAAGCCACACTGCGTTAGGGCAGTGGTGATTGTGTCAGATTAAATGGAGGGCACGGCTGACCTGCTCTGCAGTGTGACAGAGACCAGGAAAAGAGATCTGTGTTGACGTTAAAAGCAGATGGATTCCTTGGCTTGAAGACTGTTCTGAAACAGCCTGCCCAGCCAGGTTTACTCTGTTACCACCAAAGGCATTGCTCAAGGGAGACAACTCACAGCATGGGGAAAAATGTGTTTTCAGTCACGTTTTCCCATCTCAGAAGTCTTCAGAAGTTCCTGTGTAAAATAGTGCTTTAGTATCATGGGACTCAGGCACACTTGGCCACAGTTATGGCTCTCTTGCTTTCTAGTTACTGTTTGAGATGCCTTGAAAAACCCATAATTCACTGCTTTTTGTAGCCAGACCACCTCAGGAAGGGGTCAGGGTTGGTGTCCATTGCTTGATCTATTTGTGCTGACATGCAAAGAAGAGGACCATATTCCACACCAGGAATTCATTAACATCATCTCTGACTTCTTTTCTCAGCTGCCATTTCTTTTGTTCCAGTGTAGATCCCTTTTTGTCAGATTGTTCCCATCTATTTCAGAGGACCAGCTGGTCTCTGTGCTTCTGAAAAGGGCCTTGCAGCATTCTCTAGTAATTGCTCAGCTCAACCTTGCGTACAGCTGGGAGAAGGCGTTGCTCCAGTCATTGTAAGACACATTTGTGTTTTCCACAAAGTGGGGGAAGTTTCAGGGAGTCTGTAGCGTGCAGAGGCAACCTGCTTTCATTTGGTTGCATAATCATTTTATAAATGCTTTCGGTTGAATGAATAGGAGGAGGAAGTTTTTGCATGTATAGGTCTGAATGGGCAAAGGTAGCTAAACAGGGAACTGTGCTCTTCATCCCTTGGATGCATTTGGCAGCCGCTGCTTCTGCATCGCAGTGGTTCCCAGAAGGTGGTTTACCGGTGCAGGCTCACCCTGGTCATGCATGGCTCACGGCAGTCTGTGCGTGAGGAGTGCTACAGAACTACACCGTAGGCTTGCTTGCGCATCATAAAGCTATTGTTTCAAACAACTTCTCAAGCCTTTTAAGTTTGTTTTAATTTCTTAAAGTTTAATATTTTCAAATTTTCCCTTAGATTTTGAAGACCATGACTCCACTGTCTCATGTATCTGTATAAATCTGGAGTGACTGTTCTAAAGAAAATATCACGAGAGCACTGTCTATGTAGAATATAGATATGGGTCAGAAAGGCCAGGTCAGCTTGGGGGCTGGCATTGCCAAGCATCAGGGCACAGAGAAAATCTGAGTGTTGTGAGCACTTTGGTAAGGGACTAACAATGGTGGGTCAGCTAGTGGCATCCTGTCACAGGTCTGTAAGCCAACATCCAAGTGCTTCCCAAATCTTACAGGAATTAAAACTGCTTTCTACCTCACAGAATATCCAGGCAAACAGTTTCAGAAGGAATTTCAGGTAAGAACTTTCCCTTTGCCCCCATTGAAGCTGTTGGACACTAAAATACTTTAAAAAGTGTTCTCATCTAAAACACAAAGCTTATGCCAAGCTCTTAGAATTTCTGGTGACTAACCTGACCAGCTCCTTGGCATGCAGCTTCTGCGATTTGAATTAGGTGCCTCCGCTGTTCATGAGCCTAAACCCAAACCTTGCTGCCTAGTTTCCTTTGTGCACCTCATCCTCAGTATTATTTACCCCAGCCATTGCCAGGCCATCTCCATAGCTGCTGCCAGTGTGGCATTTGTTCAGAGCCTGCTCCCTTGCTCCTCAAGCCTAGGATTCAGGAGACTGCTGGGGAGGAAGAAAGCGAGTTTCAGTGCTGCGAGGTTCAGGATTTGTTTTCCTTTTGCAACCCAGCCATGACATGCCCCCGGGAAGCTTGGGGATCAAGGACACCAAATGCCAACAGGCCATGGGGAGACCAGGGCTGTGAGCCCAGACAGGTCATGTCCACAGGGTCCTGAGCCAAGGTCCCACAGCAGGACTCTGCCAGCGCTGGAGTGTCTCCATGAAACGTCTCTGCTTCAGTGTCTCTGATGGCATCCTGGTAAAGCCAAAAAGAGATCCTTTTGGACTACATCTGTAAGGCAGGTCTGGGAAGCTGGTAAAATCCTTATGGCTGCACAAGGGAATTTTACTGCTAATTTGGCAATATTTCATTTCTAGAGGCTCCTCTCTCATAAACACCTGTCCTCCATGTCCTCCTTGGCTATTTTTGTCATTTCTTCACTGCAGCCAAAACATCATTCATTTTTGAAGGATTAAGAGCTGCAGCCTCCAAGCAACGTCTGGAAAAAATTACTTCAATTGCAAAAGATCCTTTAACAGAAATGCTGGAAACATCGTCTCCCAGCAACCTCAGACACAACTCGACATAAAAGAGGTGCTCACAGTGCAGCCTTAAGGCAGAATGTAACTGTAATGTCCTGTAGTGTGGCCCAGGGCTGCCTTCCTACTGATTGGGGTCTGGGAATGCAGGTCTGATGGTGCTGCAGGTTTTCCATGGCAGGTGGTGTTAAGCGAGCCTGTCTGCTATTTGGGAAGACAGAAGATACTGTGCCTGCCTCTATTTCAAGGTAATAACTTTTGAAGTTATTTAAAGAACGGTTGCTGCCTTTGAACACTCCCTGTATGCAGTAAAGAAGCAGGTAGGAGCACAGATAACACCAAGTTTCCCAATTTTTTACTTAGAAGTCCTTTTTTTCACCAGATAACCATCCCTTCAAAAACAGATCTTGAAACGGGGCCTCAATTTGTCCCACTTGCTTAATTACTTAAAATAACATCTTAATTTCAGAGTAGTTGTTTCCTTATACTGCTACATGGATTTCAATTTTGGAAACTATGCTGTTCATGAAAGCACTTGAATGTATGGGATGAGATTTATCAGATCACCTTTGTGACACAGGAACACAGGGTTCCGCAGTCCTGTCTCAGTTAGCAGTTCTCTCCTGTGTTTTACGTTAAGCACATGCTGAAGTTTCATCCCATCTGCATGATGACAGCAGGGAAATGATGAGTACAGCTAATCTCTGCCAGATTCAAAAGGATATACTGGGTCTACTTCTACCACACATGCTAAACCCTGACTCCCAAGATGAAGCATCAAGCACAAGACAATAGGTGTGAAGGACTAATGATACTAAGGAGACTTTCTTGAGAGACAGTACAAATTAGTTACTCTTCCCAGAAAAGCAGGTGAAGACATCTGGAAATCACAGGAGGAGAAAGGAGAAACAATAAAGTTAGACTGGGAAAGGTGATGTGAAGTTCCATGCAAGTAAAGAAGAGAAAACGTGCTTAGTGCTATCTTGGATGTGGTCCAAAAAGTCTTACAAGCATGCAGCCAACAAAGAGTAGTCAGGATCTATTCTGCTTTGATTCTGGTATATCATGTTAAAATTAGTGTTCTAGCTTGCTTCAGGTACGTGTTTTCATAGAATCATAGAATAGTTAAGTTTTGGAATGACCTTTTATTTTGTGAGAAAGCAATTTAAAAAATGAACTGGTTATAGTTCAGAAACTCAACTTTGTTGACAAAGATGGTTTCGGTTAATGAAAGGCTAAATTGGATGCATTAAAACTGAAAGGAATATGAACCATATGCTGTTATGTTTGATGAACTAAAAACGATACTTCTCTCTACCGGATTCCCTGGGGCTGTTTTCAAACTGGGGGCAATATATGTCTTTCATTTGGTGGTTTAACACTAGATAACCCAGTTAGGTACAAACTGGAAGAATTGGATATTCTTGGTCCACTTTCTGCTGGGAAAACTGAGGGTACCAATTCTGAATGTCTCATTCTTCACACGTCAAACCCTAAGACTAGAATAGTTGCTTTTCAAGATTGAAACTTGCTCTGTCTTGCTGCTTTTCTGCTTTTCAACTGAGATTGAAGGACTGTATCAAGCCTAAAGTGCATCTTTTTGAACAAAGAACATCTTGTATTTTACACTGGAGGCTTTGGTATTCTTTTCACTGAAGACTGCAAACTGCTCTTTGGAAGGAGAGTTTGTTTCACTTTCAGAAGTTGTCTATTTACAAGAAGTTGAAGATATTCAACAAACTGCATGACCATGTCTCTCATAAACAATTTTAATACTTTCATTTTAGGATCTTTGAATTTAACAACAAATGTTAACCTTGGCTCCAAGAACCACCATCCTTTGAAAGCTAAATTATCAGATGCAGCGACTACATATGGTTACAATAAAAACAAATATTCACAAACATTACTGTAAGTAAAAGCATGCAATTCATACTGATATTATTCTTATTCTGGTTGTGCTGCTGATATTTATGAGAGTTTGGACAAGTGATGTGTAGTTGTGAATATATTTATGAATCCCAAACAGCTCTTGTATTTTGGCAGGTAAAACTGTCTATAAAGACTTGTCTTATACAGAGACTATAAAGACTGCTTGTGTTTCAGGTGCATTATATGTCCCCCTCCTCTAGAAAGGCTTTGAGCAACCACACTGGGAGGATTGCTGTCTTCGGTATGGTATCTTCTTGCCTGACTATTAAAATCAATATTGAATTTCTTGTAAAGCTTGTAATAAGTGCAATCCTGTTTCTGTTTGAAATAGTGGGAGTATTTTCATCAACTTCAATGGGAATTTTTATGTATGTTAATGGAACAAATTAATTCAGGCAAATACATTACACAGTATCTACTGCTTTAAAATACATTATTTTTATTGAGAGCACTGCTCTGTTACAGTTATGAACCCCCCAAAATGTATCTGTCTATGAAAAGACATTTCAGAATGGTTAACGTATCTAAGTAAAATGAGAAGGAAGCAAATCGTCATAAGAAAAGTGCCTTTGTTCAGCAGGTGGTATATGCCTGGTGGTGATATTCCCCGCTTCCAAAAGACACAGTGCAACAGGCATCCCTCCAACTGCCAGTAACTTATAGATTGATTGGTACTTGAGTTTTTACTCGTTTTGTGATTGTTTCGAATGCAGAACAGCCACTAGAAAGGGAGCATTTTGTCATTTGGCAGGCCTCCAAACAGCACTAGCAAGTGACCATACCTTTCCAGCCTAAACTAGTCTTCATGTGGTAGCAGTCAGGCTGGTGTTCATACATGATTTTATGAATAGTGAAGCTACTCATAGTAATAGCTAGTATCACCCAGAGCAGACACAAGATAATTGTACAATTGAGGAAAAGTATCAAGCATCCTTTCCCCTAAAATTATGTATTTCTTTTTTAGAAAAATTGATCTTAATCTAATTAAACAATAAATGAGATGTCTCAATTGGTAAAAGTGGTTAGATTTTTATTTCAGGGGATAATATCTGCTCCCCTTTGACAGTATCACTTTCTCCATTGGCAGCATCAGTCTTTGGGATTAAATAAATTTCTGAGTCACATGATGTTGATGATTTGACTTCGATATATTGGTGCATAGATGACAATATATTTCCTTTTATATAATTAGCATCTTTTAGTAGAATCTGCAAAATTGCTTATCTTTCTTGGTTCAATTTTTCTGCTCTAAAAGTTAACTGCTTTCTTTGCTTCAGTAATTGTATTTATTTGTGTTTGGTTTTAGTTTTGTGGGCTTGTATCAGAAAATAAAAAATGATATAATAATGGTTTTAAATTAAAAAAAAACCCAAGTATGACCTCTGAATACATTAATATTCACCTGTATTCTTGCGTGGAACTACTTAACCAACTACTATCGGACTAACATCTGTTAAAGAAGGAGGTCATGTATTGTTTTATAATTTCTAGCAGAAAGTTCTAATAATGTTCCTAGGATGTCATATTTTGGAACAGTTAAATAAAACATTCTTATGTGGGGAAAGCAGAAAAACAGTCTTTTTTTTTTTTCCAGGTATAAAGAATTTTTCTTTAAGATTTTTAACAAAAATTCAGTTCATGCTCTGTTTTATTTCCCACTACATACCTAAGTCAGAAACAGAACTTAGCCTTTAACTTGTTATCATTTGAAAGGCCAGAAGCTACAGCTACAGGTACATTTTGGGTTCACATGCTGTGTTTTCAAGGGACTGCTATCAGTGATGTCTTTTACGACCCTTTATATAGCCATAGCATTTGGGGACTTGTTTGAGGCTTACATAGCGTTTGGGGACTTGGTTGATGCTTGCAATATGCAATGCAGCCCAGTCCTTCCACCACAGCTGCTGTACCACTGTTGTTGTACCACCCCCAGATCCTGGACAAGTGAAGAAAGTTGTTTGCTTAGTTAGTCATAGAAGAAGCTCTAAATATTCCTCTGACATATGTTTGTTTTAACTACAGGCTCTAAATTACTTTTTCTTTGCATGGGTATGATTAGCTCAGGAAACACAAGGGCTGGTCTAAACATATGTACAGGAAAATACTGCCATACAGAAATGACAAGGTGAGGGACACATCTTTTTAAACAGAACTTGTGAGTTTTCTCAAGCCCAGTCACTTTCCATTCTTAAGAGCTTGAAATAGAAACAACCCAGCACTCAGCAAATCGTTCCCTCAGCCACTATCTTCCCTCCCTCCAGCTAAAAACATAGCTCATGATCTGAAATGTATTAATATATATGTGTAAAAATGGAATTGGAATGATAAACATTTAGGTATTAACCATTTAACTATATCACCATGTAATGCCAGTGCCCTTTGAGGTTGCTATTTGAAATTCAAAGTATCTAACAAATGTGGGCATTATTGGTCCATTTCAGGGAAAAACTGTCTCTGACATATGTGCACTTGTATACTTTTTATTTTAACACTATGTAGGAAGATGAAAACAGGGGTAATGGTAGATAAAGCACCTTTTCTTCTTCAGATGTAGACTAAACAGTTTCATAACAGTTGCTTCTAAATATTGCAGAAACGCCATGGTGGCATGCTAAAAATCTCACCAAGAAGAAGACTCCTCATGTAATAAACTAAAAGCACTGAGTCCTGAGGCAGGGGAGTTTGGTTCCTGTGCAGCACACCTAGTAACGTCCCCTGCTCTCAAGTGGGGAGTCGGGGTCTAACAGAGACAGCAGATGTAGCTCTAGCTAGCAGCATTTTTGCTTTTAGCAAGTCTCTTAATAGATCAGCAGTCACCCAGTGGTTGTGTGTTGTGTGGTGTGGACCTGTCTAATGTTTCTTTCCAGAATCACTCATGAGCACAGCTGGAAGGGATGGGGGCCCTCAGGGCAGAAGACCTACAAGCAGCAATCCTTACCTACCAACACATGTGGAAGGCAGCATCCTTCTCTGAGGTACCAGGGAAAAACAGCTGATACATAAATGAGGGAGAGCCTACGGATCTGGGATACTGAGAAATGAGAAAGGAACAGAATAGTCAGCTCCTTCTTTGAGAGATGGAGGGGAAGACAGATAGAATTGCTGAAGGTGTTATTGGGTTATTATTTTTATGATCTCCAGGAGCAGACAATCAGGGTTTGAGGTGAGAAGCTCAGTGAGTGATTAGCTGTCTCCTCGGATACCCAGGCTCTGGTCCTCCTGAGTTTTGTACTTCTTAAGAATGATAACCTTCTGGCCCAATCAGAAGAAAATGAATATAATGTATCTCTGTAGAAAGGCTTTAGGAGATCAAAGTCATACACAGACCTTCACTTTCAAGATCCAAAGCATTCTAAGTGTACTTACTCAAGGGGCTACTTATAAAGTCTTAATATTATGAATAAGTGGTGCTGCTCAATTGCAGTTTTGAAATGTAAATCCCTTTCAGAAAATGAATGTACGTGTAAAAGAAAGCAGAATAGGTCTTGGAGAAAGTCATCCCTGAGGCTGATTAGTGAGTACAATCAAAAAGCAACTTTCTTCCTCCTTTTCCAAGCCAACAGTGTTTTTACCCCATTTTTGATGGCGGTCTTCAGCCTCCAAAGATCTCCTATAGCAAATTAGTTATTTTGCTTTCCTTTTCTCTAAAGGTATTTTGGGTATTTTATACCCAAACCTGCATCTGGTGTATTTTGCTTACAGGCAAGCCCGTATCTCTTCCCTCAATGTTTTTTTCACAGACTTTTTTCTTGCTATGGTTTCCCTTCTCATACAAAATAGAGAAGGTTTTGGGACAATATAGTCCATGAATTAGTCCACAAATTACAAAACCAGCATTTTGCCAGTCACATTCACAGGAATACCTCTTAATTTCCCTGCAAAAATATCATCAAATAAGCAATATTTGTGATATGCAGGCCTTCCCGCTGGATTATTCTAGAGGAGCATGGAGTACATGTTTTCCTGCTAGGACTCGCCTTCTTCCATTTCAGTTAAGGGAATATCCATTTTGAAGTTTCACCAGCTAAAGCTATGGCCATCTGTCTGAAAGGGTGCATGCCTTTCTTCTTGCTGCATCTGTCCTCACTCTTCCCACTCTTCATATTTACTTACAAACACTTCCCCTGACTTCTTTTTTTGCTCTTCATGTGGCTGGCATTTATAGCCTGTCTCTATTACTGTTAAGTATTTTTCTTCTTTGGCTTTGGTGCCTGTCTCCTCCTCTTCCATCTCTTTCGAGAATATTTTTCCCCACATCTCACAGCAATGATGTGTTTGATCCTGCTCCACTCTTAAAACTTATGCTACTGATCAGTCCATGAGAATGCACAAGGGTGAAATTTTTTGGGAGGCCAGAGTTTGCTGTTACCCCTGGTAGAATAGAGAGCCGAATTTATTATGGTATATGATACAAACCTTAGAATGTGAGTCAAAGGAATAGGGCACACAATGCATGTAGAGAAGTCAGTGACGGAATGGATGCTGGAGACATCCTCTAGTATACAACAGCATTGGGTATACATAAAAACCTTTTAGCACATTACTGCACCTGGGGCATTAGTACAAGTGTTTCCTATTAGTATCCATTTTAGAGTAGTGTACCAATTGACTTTTTTTTCTGACCTGACTGAAGAAACCCCCCCAAAAAAAACCCAGTTTGTATTTTCCTGCAGAAAATGTGTTTAGTTTTCTTGGGGAATTGAAGTAGAAGCAAAAATAAATTACCTAGGTAGGATTAACATATTTCTCTCATTCCTAGATATTACTTTTTGCATAGCGTTTAGGCTTGGAGGCTAAAAATTAAAAAGGAAAATACCCTTCCTAGTCTGTATAACAATATTACATGGTTCTGAACTTTCAAATTGGATAGTTCAAGATAAATGTTTCAGATTTGTATTTTGCTTTGCTTACAGTATGTATGGACAGTGCTGAAACAATATTTCTCAAGAAAATATTCTCTGAAAAAAAACCCCTCATTT